CCTTCTGAACTTTTCGCATAACTCTTTCTGCACTCACCACATTGGAAAGCCGTGATTTTTAATGAAATCGTTATTCAGTTGTGTGACACTTTTGAGCTTTGTGTAGTAGAAGCGATTATTTTGAATAGACAATAGTTTTTTTTTTTTTTTTTAAATTAAAAACAGTTAAAACTTCTGTTGACTAGTCGGAAGTTTCCATTCCTTATTCTCGTTGAGATCTGACAAGAAGCTGGAATCGAGACTGACTTCTCTCCAATTTCTCATTCTCGCATCGTCATGAGACATTGAGAATGGGTTTGTCTTTTCCTCGTCATCTTCTGATGATTTGAACGACATAATTCGTTTCAAATTGGCCGCCGACTGCGAGTGAGGCATCATCGTTACTGGTCCGCTTCCACGATGCTCCAGACGCACTTCAGAGGCTGATCCGTGATAATGATGATTTGGAACATGAGATGATTCTTCTGAATACAGAAGAGGAACATCCACTTCATCATAGAACGGGTCTTTTCGAAGATCAGGCGTTGTCATTGGGTTATCAGCAATCATCAATCCCATCTCAACCGATTGGTTTTCAGATCAATTCGATGAAAATATTCACTCACCGTGATATTTCTATCAATTAATGCATTTGTTTCAAAGTCATCATCGTCTTCTCCAAATGGATTCAGCATAACGTCAATAACTTTAAGCCATCCCATATAAAATATGAATTGAAGAAATGTCATGACAGGAAAATAAACATCAACTTCATCGACTATTTTATGCTTTTCCACGACAAGTTGTCTTGCTACAATCGACACCAAAAAGTACAGATTGACTGCGAGGCACACCAACTGTGGGTACATTAGCGGTAACGGTACCCAATCGTAGTTGCAAACCCATTCAATATTCGTCCTCCACGTTCTGATCTCCGCTTCCATTTGTGCTTTGAAGTAGTCACTCTCGATATATCCATCCTTTCTCGCTTTGTTGGTCATGCACAGTGCCCAATTAGCAGGAATCCAATATTTTGTTCCTAGCTTACTGTTATACTTGGTGTCATAACTGTTGTACAATTCAAGTTCGTGTTTATTCATGAATCCTGCAGCTACTATCGTCTCCATTGTGGGGAATCGACGACGAGTCCTCATACTCATATCACGAAACACAAGAACTTGAACTAGTTCACAGTATCGCATTATGTTTCGACGATAGATTCTTGCCTTCTCTGTTGCGCCACGAATGTAACAGTTTGCCATGAGACCAACGCTGAAAATTGCACCGCTTGATTTGTAAATTAACCTTGATACCACTTACTTATCAATGAATCCAATTGTCTGGTACAGTTTCGTCCATCTGTTCACTACGGTAGTAACGAAAAATCCCAACACAAATTCAAGTGGAATGTATGATAACCTCTTATCGAAATACCGTACCACCGCCTCGAAAGTTCTTCAAAAACTTATTATTCTCCTATTCAACCACACGTCACTTTCTCTTACCTTTGACTGGATTCGCCGAGTGCTGTTTTGTAAATAACCGAAATGATTCCATAAAAAATCAAGAAGATTATGGTCTCCATGTAAACAGCCTTCCAAATCGAACCTTTCCATTTGAACAGTAGTAAAAAGAAGGTCCACGGATGGGATGTCATTATTTCTTTGTGATAATTTATCGTCATTTTTCCGAATATTCAGATGATCTCCTGGAAAATATTTTAAATGACCAGAAGTGAAAAAGCGAATGAAAAGAGAATCGCGACGATTCAGAGATCGCTCATCGATAGGTTCGTTGGGTTCATCTACCATTCCGTTGAAGGAAGACGACCAGTTCACAAAACTTCCACCCATAAAATGACCAATTTGGGTATATCAAAAAGAAGGCATGTGATAGGAATCTTACTGTACTGATAGGACTAATAAAAACGACGTCAACTCGAAATGACGACTTCTTTGCTACCTGTCGCATTCTGATGACTCATTTTCGTCAAATTGGAGGAATTTGTCTTAAAGGAACAAGTTATCACTGAATATTATGCTGGTACAAAAAAATCGGAGCTGTGGAAGAGAAATGTCGGTGGCCGTGGCTGAAGGTCCGACTACCGTAGCCTAAAAATATGTGTTCCGGGATCTATTTTCTCGTTTTTCACTTTTTTCTGAAAACACACAAAAATCGTGAAAATACTGAAAAGGAAAATATTTTTAGGTTACTGTAGTTGTCGTTGTTAGTAATATTGGACTCAAAAAACAAAATGTTGAATTAAAATAATGACCGACAATCACGAAGATTCGATTAGGAGAGTAACAATTTATACTCGAAATGTGGAATAGGATTAAAAATGAGGGAATTAGAAAATGTCGGAAGTACTGTATGGAGAAAAATACGAAAAGAACAAGTTTGAAATTCTCTTCGGGAAACGAATGGGAGAAGACGAATGGTGGGGGGTAGTCTCTTTTCAATAATACTTTTATGGGTTTTATGGGGGTTTTCCGAAGTATTCAGCATGCCAGAGATCATACCGTCAAACACATTTCTTACAACAAACATGGTAATGGAATGGCAAATATAAAGAACCAAAAAATTATGTCATCCAACTGATTGAGATACTACAGAGAACGATACATTCGGAAACGGGTTCATTCAGGTTCATTCGCCGATGTCTTGCTGCATGATTTCTTTGAACTTGACTTCCTCCCGTCATCTCTTCTTATCATTTGATAAACATATGATTTTTGTATTGCAGGTTGTGAAAAGTGAACAAGAACGATACGTCGGCTCGATGCTTCTGGAACCACGTAGTCTTTTCATCATGACCGACGACGCCTACACAACGATGCTCCACGGAATCACAGAAAGAGAGGACGATCTTGTTGAACCTGGAAAAGTGTTCAATTGCACTGAAGAATTGGCGAACAAGAGATTGGAAAGAGATACTCGAATCTCAATTACGGTCAGAAATGTGGAGAAAGTGTCGAAGCTCAGTGTGATGGACATGCTGAAAAAGTGATAAAATTAAGTTCAATGGATTTTTTTGTGCATTTAATTACTGGTGAAATAAAATATTATTTATTGAAATCGTCGTTAGAAGATGAAAGACAAAAGAACAGAAGAAGAGGAACAATTCTGAAAATACAGTAACTCTGAATTGATTGATTTTTTGCTGAGATGTTAAGAATGACTTTTTTGAGATCTGGAATGAAATCAATTTTCCGGTATAAGGAATACGGAATCCGTAAAATGTGTCCCAGAACAAAAACTAGCATTGAAAAATTCAAATTCATATTTTCTCATTTCTCAATTTATCTTTGGTGTCTGGCATTTTTTTTTCACTATTATTGTGGTACAAAAAATTGGAGCTCTGGAGATGAAACGTCGGTTGCCGCGCCCGAAGGTCTCCAACGACAACTACCGTACCGTAAAAATATGTTTATTTTCTTTTTTATTTTTTTAACTTCACAGTTTTTTAAAATTTTTAGTCGAAAACTAAAAATTATTTTCAGGTTACTGTAGTTGTAGTTGTGGGACCTTCGGCTACAGCCACCGTTGTTTCTATTCCACAGCACTCAAATTTTAACCAGAATAATGAATAAAAAAAATATTAACAGACAATGAGTGCCGGAGCATCCTTCTCGCTTCTTCCTCTTTTTGCTCTCTATTCGCCGACTCATGACAATTCTGATTTGTTTTGGCAGATGGGAAAAAAGAAAAAGAAGAGACGGGCGGCATATGGGAACGATGAGTTACGCAACCGGCAAAACGAACCAAAAGTGACAAATTACTCAAATAAAATGCATGAAGCGGTGTGCGCTAAAAGATGATCATCTCTGATAAAATGCTCGTTTCTTCCCTAAAAATTGAAGACAAATGACATAAAATGAGAATATATATGAGTGCGGGAAATTGAACGGAAATTGAATGCAAAATTGCAATGACTTTCGTTATACTTCGTAGTTTCCTTTTTTCTTTGGTCATCGTTTGGCTCCCATTCCTAACAAATTATTCTTCTATTTCACATTTCAACAAAACAATGTTTTAGTTGTTTTCTTCGGTGTCTTTTTGTTTTCTATTGTCATCAATTTGAGATGATTTGACATGCAGATGGCATGCACAATGAAACAGGTGAGTAGGGTGAAGGAGTAACGTGAGAATGTGTTATGGGAATTAGCACTACCCTGAGAACATGAAACACCTATTAAGAACACATGGAAACAGAGTGTGAAGGGAAATAACAGTAATCTAAACCGGATGAACCATCCAAAAAATGGGCGGTCCATATAGGTGCCAGGTTTTGACCCCAATAAACCCCAGAGGAATAATATTACTTCCGGTTCAACCAATACTATTGATTCTTCAAAAAAGAAACACTTTATTTTTAAACCAATCGTTTTCTGATCATTTTCATTTGAGAATGAGATGTTCGTTTATCACAGGTAAGACGGGGTTGGCGAAAAGCGTACAAACGGCGGCTGAAGATCTAATGTAAGAGTTGTCAATAATGTGCGTCTTTAAGCTAATGGGTGACATTTTAAAAAGAAACCTAATTTTTTCATTATGGTTAAAATTCTAATTTTTCTGCTAATACCGTTCATACTTTTTATAACAAATTTTTCCCCAGTTGCTTGAAGACGCAAATTTAAGCCAGTTTCCAAATCTTCAGCCGCCGTTTGCACGCGTTCCGGCAACTCCGTCTTACCTGTAGGCTTTCTAAATGGTGTTGTAGACTTTATCAAATAATTCCTCAAGGAAAATTTTCCATGATTTTATATAAAACTTGCTTTCCTTTGGTTCCTGCACTCTTCTGAACTTTTTGCTTTTCAAAATGATTTTGAAGTTTCAATTCCAATTTCAGAACTTTTAAGATTGCACTGTCAAAACGAACATCTTTCTTCATTTTTTTTGAAAAATTGCAGATGGATCATGTATACTTTCCTGCTCAAAAGGAATTTGGATCAGATATAATATTTAAAAAAATATCATATGAAATGTCAACTCTTGGATCGAAATTTTCAGATTAAGACCTTATTGTACACTTGAGATTAAATTCGGTTTTGATCCATTTCAATTAATTTTTTTTGATTCGGGATTCGTACAATTTTAAACGCTTTCACCTTTCGATAGGATGATATTAGTCTTGGTTTTTTTCTCAAAAATTCGTTTTGCAGCTCTATTTTCTATTCCTAGCAAGATTGACCAAGTAAGGTCCAGGGCCTAGGTTGGTTAAATAATCAAAAGAACTTGTCGAAAAAAACTCAGCCGCAGAAGACACACCAAACCAACGAAGTAGCCGTATTGCATCTGGTACCGGAGTAGCCAAATCAGAACGCCTCGGGTTTTCCGTATTTTCCTGAAACCGTAGAAAAGCGAAATTGCATTCAGCTAATAAATCAATTTTGAACTGTCTATGACGTACCGTAAAACTTGTAATAGAAGAGCCCATGAACTTCTAACTTTTAGCTCAAATGTTTCAACTTGTGTTAAAGGTTTAAAACAGTTGTCAACAGATAAATTGCTTATCATACTATTAAAAATGTTTTGTCCGTTGACATATTGTTGATATTTTCATAGGAATAGAAAGAATTGAGCTCAAAGTTGACGATTCGGATGGGCTTATATTATAAAAAATACGGTAATCAGAAATATTCGATATCCTCCCTGGGGAATTTGAATATTTGTTTTGAGAATCATCTCATCTGATTGCAGTCACCAAAGTCTACAAGTGAGTTTATGATGACCTCACTCTTGTGCTTTTGAACTGATTGAGCTAAAATAAAAAATTTAGAGTAGAAATTGGAAATTCTTTTTTAAACTTAAAAATATAAGTTTTACACAACAACTGAATATAAAAGATCTACTAGTTTTTTGACATTGCTCTGAGATATTGACACCAAAAAATAAAAATATGAATAGACACTTTCCTTAATCATTGAATTGCAATTGAAAGCCGATTTTCTAATTGCTCAAGCATCTTGAAAACTCTTTAATAATTTTATAGCTTTATAGATCAAAAGTGTTATAGGCCTATACTTATCACCATTCTTAGAGGTTTTGACTGTTTAATTTCTATTTCCCACATCCTGCTCTTTGATGCTCTTTCTCACTACCGTAACTAATAGTTTTGTGTTATCTGAAAACGAAATCTTTAACCCATTTCGTTCTATTTTCCCGCACTACTTCATCATTTTCTCCCATTAGACACCGTTTCGCTTTCCACCCCGTACCCTTTTGTTTCTCTGGTCGGTGACTCTAATCCCTTCCATTTTGATGCATCATCCATACTTCTTTTCCTTCGTTGCAGTCGGCTGCCATTTACCATATGTGGGTGTGCGAGTAGCGGGGTTCCCAAGAAAATAGTGGGCGGAGTCAACTACAGTAGGCGGAGGAGCAAAAGTGGGAGGAGACACAAAGAATAGGGAGCAACCCAGCCAACGCTCAACGTCTCAACACGACTCGTCCGAGGATCAAATTCTTTGCTTCCAATTAATCCGATCACTGACTTTGCGTAAGACGGTAATAATCCTTGGGGATTGAGACGACTCCAGAAAAGAGCAACACATGGATGACAATACGAGCACACTCACTGCTCTGCACCAACACCAGCAGCAGCAGTCCCATAATCGGTTGGTTTTATTTTTCAACTTTTGTTCTTCTTCAAGTTTATTTTTTTGTTCTACTTGCTTGTCTAAAACATTACCAGGGTAAAACCTGTACTAGAAGGGCTGGACCTTCTATTTCTCCAGAACCCTTTTTGAAGGGCACTTTTAATAAAGGGGGCCCTTCTAATGTAGGTTTTACGGTAAGTCTTTATTTATGTATTGTAACTATAGTAAGTAAATTAGAAAAAAGTGACGAACGTTTCAAAAATATTCAAAAAGTATTCCAATTGTCTCTGAGAATTATTAAATTGTATCTATGTAGTTACAAAAGTCGTGTTTCCTTAAAAAAACTTTTCTTTTCGTTCCGGTTCTCACCGTATCAGAAAACAAGTTTCAGCAACCTACCCAACATATCTTTGAAGTACCTTTTTCGGTTACATCTACCCACTCACAAAACTGACTAACTTTTAACTTTGAGTCAATTTATCTAGATTCCTGAGAGATTTATCAAAAAGTGAACAACTAACAAAATACTTTTGGTGTCATAATTAACGTTTATTAGTTTACCACTTTCTGATATCTTTTACAGGAAATTAGATATTTAGGGTCAAAGTTGGAGGTTTGGTGACCTTCTATTAGAGTGTTTACGGTCAGTCTATGTTAATGTATATCAGCCCAAGTCGGTAAATTAGGATAAAGTAACAAAAACTGAAAAATATTTAGTAATTATTAGATTTTGTCATGGTTGAAAAGTTTCCTATTTTATTTACATTTCTAATTTCATTTCGGTTCTCACCGTAGCAGAAATCAAGTTCAACAAACATAACTACCTGAAGTACTTTTTATCGGTTGCATCTACCTCATTCCCAAAACATTGACTCAACTTCACATCTTCTGCTATCTGACCTCACCTCATCACTCCCACGTGTCATATTTCGACAGTTTTTAATCGTTGTGTCCTTTTCAGATTCCCCCACTCATTAGTATGTGTTGGACCACTAGATCATCATCCACTCCTTCCGGAACAATCACTTTCTTCATCTTTGGCACCATTGACACACAATCCTTATGCATTCAACTACCCAATTCCACTTGCACCAACAGAAATCACAACGAAACTTCCAAAGTGTAAGGGTTTTTGATTTAGATGTAAATGCAATGAAAAAGTAATGGTTTTCAGTAGAATTGATGGCTCTTGATGTCAAACAAGAACATGAAGATGCTATTCATAATGAATCGGCTAGCCCGGCAGATTCATCTGGAAATGGAAGTACAAATGGAGGCAAAGCTCAGAAGCCACGAAGACAGAGAACCCACTTTACAAGTCATCAGGTATTACTTTTTCTTGTTTCATGTTAAAGAAGATCTAATCTTATTTTTGCAGCTTACTGAACTTGAAAATTGGTTCGCCCGTAATCGATACCCAGATATGGCTTGTCGAGAAGAAATCGCAGTATGGATCAGTTTAACGGAACCACGTGTCAGAGTGAGTTGTGATTTGTATCAATGCCGTTTTCCGGTCATAAAACCATGCTTTGAAATTGATGGCCATCTGCCAATTACCGTAGGAATTGAATAGAGAAAAGAGAAACAAATGGGTGGGGAAGAATAACATGGTCATGTAATGAGAAAATAGGGTGAAAAGGAGCCGTAGGGTGCTAATTGAATTTCGAAAAGAAATGAATGAAATGAAGACGTCACTGTCTGTTTGCAGGTCTGGTTCAAGAATCGTCGTGCCAAATGGAGGAAGCGCGAGAGAAATTATGTGATTGAAAATGGACAGGCCACTTCGAAACCATCAACGATGACGCCGGGAATCGTCCCGACACAAAGTTTAGATCCACTTGGATCTCTTCAAAACACATTTCCACAGAATCTGTTACAGAGCAGCAGTCAGGTACGTATATGGCCAGACATTTCCACTTGAATTGTTTATATTCCAAACGTCTCATTTTTCTTTCTTTCCTCTTCTTCTCTCCACCAGAAATGTTGCCTCTTATGTCATAAACAATCAGATGGCATCTTTCTTTTTCTTCTTTGATTTCTCAAATACACAAATTTAGTTCGGGACAAGAAAATAAGACAAAAAATTGAATTCAGCTCGACGATTCTGCTGTAACGGCTTCTCCATTCTACGGGTATGGGGGTACATGGCAACCGAATCCCTACTACTCGAGAAGTAACCAGTTTAATTGGCAGATAAAGCCACAGGTGAGGAAATCTAGAATTTTTTATAGAAATAGAAACAATGAATTTCAGTTTCAAACACTTCCGATGCCAACGACAACTTCACCGTCTCGATTTACGACGGCTGTCTCGACTGGGTTGACTCCTTTGCCAACGTGAGTTTTTTTTAAAAGCAAGAGAATCATGAAAATTTCTGAAATAGAAAAGATATCAGAAACCATGAAGCATAATCTTTTTCTGGTAGGAATGCATTAAAAAAGTTTCGACACTCTGCTCTGGTCAAATTTCAATGTGCTTTGAGGCCGGTAATTCGAGGGTGGGCGGAGCTTAGCGCAGGTAGCGATATCCTTAACGGAGCATGTATTTTTCGTAAATAGAAACGCTGGAGCCCTCATAGTCTACCACAATGTCTTGTAATTTGTAATTTTGTTTATTGAACAGATATAATGATAACTAGAGGGCAAGACATAAAAGACTCAGAAAATGCCCCTCACGAGGCCGATCTGAGTGAAGGAGGAAAACCGGGAGAATTATGAAATATGGGGTCTACTAACTGGCTCCGCGACACTTCGAAACCTGTCATTTAGGAACCGTGGTAATGCAGGCGAATGGACAAATTTCAGACAACAGAAACAACTTTAGGGTTTTCAAATATGCTTTTTCTGATAGAACACGTTCTGAAAATCGGAAAAATCCAAAATTTGATGTTCTCAAAAGTCGAAAAAGTTTTAAATTTTTCGATTTTTAGAATGTGTTATTATATCAGAAAAAGCATATTTGAAAACCGGTACCGAG